TATTGCCAGGAAATATCATTGGCCTATTGAAGAATTTGGTGAATGGAAACAGCGCATTTTAATGGAGACCAAAAATAGAATATATAAAAATAAAAGTAAAATTATTAATAGAGGTATTTTCTTCAACAAGCATCTTAAAAAAGAAATGATTATATAAAAAGTAAATTTATTGTTACCACAGTTGACAAGGCAGGGAATAATTTTTGCATAATGTGTAAATAACACATTAAGGAAATTATTCTTAATGAATATAATTCAAATAAAACATATCAACTAATTAAATTTGACAAAAAGAACTGGATAAGAGAATGATAGCACTTGCTAAAAAAACTAAAATTAAAATCGGTAACTTAAATTATCTTTACCTTTTCCCTACTATTAAATTTCATAAAAATCCATTAAAATTCAGATTTGTTACTTGTAGCACTGGCAGTTACAATTATAATTTTGATAAATTTTTCTTAAAAATTCTAAAAATTATTCTTAGTAAAATCAAAGAAGAAGAGAACTTCATTATTGATAGTAACGCTAAAATTTTGAATTTTCTTAAAGAAAATAAAATATATAACATTAATACATTTGATTTTGAAAATCTTTTTACTGGCCTCCCACATAATAAATTAATTGAAGCCTGCTCAAATGTTTATGATTTCTACCTTAATACTGATTTAATTGATAAAGATAAATGGTTAGAAATTTGAAGAGTTAATATTTGTAAAAATTATCTCTTTAATAGTATTAACTATTATAAACAGTTTTTGGTGATTCCTATAGGTTGTTGTTTTTCTAGTGCATTGGCTAATATATTTCTACACTCATTTGAGAGAGAACTAATTAAAAATGCACTTATTTTTGATTATCGTTACATCGATGACCTCTTAGTGCTTAATTTTAATAATTTTAACTCCATATATAATTGCTATCCAGAAGAGCTTAAATTAAACAAAACGAATAATGAATTGAACAAATGCAATTTTTTGGATCTGTAAATTGAAACTTTGAATTTATGTCTGTATTGGCATTTACGATAAAAGAAAAGAATTTAATTTCAAGGCTATTACACTTTGTGATTTTCAAACAAATCTTCACTATAAAATTATAAGGAATTCCATTTTTTCTCAAATTAATGGAATGAAAAATATTTGTAATAGCCACTTAACTTTTGTTAAAGTTTTAATAATTTAAAGAACAATTTAAAAGATAACGGTTACCCAAATAATTTCTTTAAGGTAAATAACTTAATTAAAAAAGTTTGAAGCGATTTTATTCTTCTGGTAAATGTTTCGAATTTTTCTGCATAGATGGAGCTAGGAGATAGCCTCTAAAAATATACTTCCTTTGTTCTTGCATGTATCGGTAGCGTCATTCCTTTTTGCTCCTATTTTGGCAGAGGGTAAATATTTACGTTCTCTAGTCTCTCTATTGGATTTGTTATAAAGGACTTTGTTAAGTTTTTCTTTTTCAAAAGTTATTATTTCCTATATTTCAGTTAATGGATAAATTCAGGCCACAGGAGGCATAATTTTTGACTTTGTAGTCATACCCTTGACAGAAAATTTATCCATATTAGAACTCCGATGGCGAGAGGTCTTTGAAAAAGTTCGCCATTCGAGTTCTCATCCATTTCTTCCGTTGTAATCGTTTTTTCTTTTATATTCTAATTGTTTTCTTTTATTTGTTTTAATTATTTTAATTATTAGAGCACATTAGTTTTTCTGTTGTTTAATTCTATGGTGAATTGTTGGTTAATTGTATTACAGTATTGCTGATGAAATCATTGATGCTGCTGCGTTGTAAAAAGTGTATTGTTATCGCTATTGTTTACTTCATCTGTTTCTTCTGTATTTTTCTTACTCTTTTTTTGTATTCTATTATTTCTATTTGTATTTTATTAGAAGTTGCTGCATATGCGCCATTCTGTCTAATACAAAAGTTTAATTAATTTTTAATATATTTTCTTAAATTATATTAATTGTAATTACTATTCGATGATGAAACGTGCTCTCCTAACTTACTCTTTGCTTTTATTTATTATCTTATTAACAAAATGCCAAAACCTTCATGTAAATACGCCTTTAAACCATTATCTTGTATTCTCCGTCTATCAGCCTGCTGTCTTTCTGTTTCAGTTCAATATTATAATGTGTATAAAATATTAAATCTAATAATAGCAATTTAAATAAAGATAAATAAATAATTAACATCCATTTGAATTAATTCAGTGATAAACGTGCTCTCCTAACTCATTCCTTGTTGCTTATATAATACAGCAATAAAGAAATACAATGTCAAAACACTCAGCATTCCTTCAATCTTTTTTCGCTTATCTCTGTTCATTTGCTATCGTACAGTTTCTAAACACGAGAAACAGTTCCTGAAAATGTTGTTTAAATAAGTCAACCGAGGGAATACACAGTTTTTCCTCTATAGAATTCAAAGTCCTTTTGGAAAGTATGGGGAGATTTAAGTACACCCTTATGCTTCATTTGCTGCTATCAAAAGCACGTAATTATTTTTAAATAATTTAAGTTTGCCTGATGACGGTTACTTTTCTCTCACAAATTGCCTGATGAAAGGAGAATTTACTCTCTTCTTTAATCTGAATTAAATTGATTAGAGAATCTTTACGAAATTTGTTTGATACAAAGTGGCTGCAAAGATTTTTAAATTACTGAAATCGACAATTGCTTTTAAAAGCCTGAGTGTTATTAGTTTCTGTGATCATTTTAACCAGGATATTTCTGACATACATCACAATAAAAGAACACTCTTATCATGCGATTCCATCTTAAATATAAACAAAATGTCTTTTATCTTTGCCAGTAAAAACATGCGTAATTTCCAGACATATGTGTATTCCATTAGCCTCTCTACTTAAAGATTATTTGTATTTCACTCTAGGGATTTTTTTTTCAGGAAAGAAAACACTTAATATTATTTCCAGGTAGCAACGAGCCTGAAAGCCCAATTAAGTATATCAGATTTTCAGTTTTATAAACGTCCCGGTTTGAAGGAACACAAGGGCTATTTTGGGACGGTACTCGTAATTTCGAACCGCTGTAAGATGACGACTGAGCTGGCATCCTCTCTTCCAAACTTGAGAACGTCTGATCCACAACGCCAAATTTAACATAAAGAGACCCACAAACACTGCAAATCTTCAGTTAAAGTGCGTTTCGAACCTGGAACCTTTCGCTCCAGAAGCCGAGACTTTACTACTAGGCCACGGCGGTTCTATCGCGTAGTGGTCTCGCATTTTCTATGGACGAGTTTTCTGTTTTGTTTATTTGCAGTAAAGTAGGATTTCCGCCTTACCCATCAACTATGGGGTCTATTCTGGTACCCCCGGTTGGGTTGGGAGACGTCACTTTTCCCGTTGTTAACGTGCGGAAAGAAGTGACGTCTCCCAACCCAACCGGGGGTACCAGAATAGACCCGTACCTGTGATAATATTAAGTCAATGGGAATCTTCAAAATTTCAACATTCTATTTGAAGATATTAATTAATGTTTAAAGTGGAGTTTTCTAATGTTATGGCTTAAGGATACTTAAAAAAATAATACTGAAAATATTAAACTTCATGTTCCTATTGTTGTAGCTCTCAATGTTTACTTGAAATAAGAGCCTAATTTTCATAATTATTTTTATCTTTTTGACATTTTGTGTACTCAAGAAATAACTGATGCGAACTTGGCGTTTGATATGGAATCCAATTGGATTTGGTGATGGCTTAAATTGGAGGGTTACTGGAAAACGGAAGAGAACCCTCAGTACGGAAATTTTTAACAAACAAATCAGAAAACTCGTCCATACACAAGTAATGAAGAATTCTATTTTTTCATTCTTGTAGCTCAATATTTATGATTATGTCATCTTAAATAAGTGTATTTGCCCTTAAATTCTTTCAAATTGAATTTCATAAAAATTCTCTAAACATTATTACCTTCAGATTTTTACTTTTCGCATTCATTCAACGAATTATTTTATTTTTGGCTGTTATTTCATGTGGCTCAATTTCAGTTTTGGATAACATCGTTTGGATTATAAACTATAGCATTACCTTGTGTAGGCTATGTTCAGCTTTAACTCATGCTTAGTTGATTTCGAGCATAAAGCAACGACATTATAATTATAATGACCATTATGGGACTATCATTAATTTCATGTTGCATCTAATATTAATTATATATCGTTTACGGCATATTACAAATGCTTATGACTTTTAACATAGAAAAATAGAAACCTTTAGGTTAATCTGTCTGCATCTTGAGAAAGTTTCGCTGTGACTTTCATTTTGTACGTAATAATACATACGATATTTTATATATAAGATTTAAAGAATTATTAGTTTATTATATGATTAATTGCAGATACATAAAATGGAAATGAACAATCGCCTAGAAAGCAGTTATAAATTACAGTTGTAAGTCTTTCTTTTGGGGTTGTCAGACTGTAAATGTGCTGCCTCCGCCTCATAAACTTATAGTCAAAGAGAACGAAGAGTTTCTCCTTCGTGTGCGAGGAAAATTCATCCGTGTGATAAGGGCTTTATGCTGATTTCTGAATAAACATTACAGCTGCTCTCGATCTCATTCTTAATGGGGTTTAATCCTATTTTTGGTGAAAAATTCGATGAGGAAACGCTTGAAACGTAATGATGATCGTCCACGGGCCATAACGGATAAGCCGTCTGAATTTGAATCAATATTACAGGTTTGAATCTTATTACGGAGAAGAAAGAATTCACCTTTCTAGAAAAGGATCCCTGTTATAAATTTTTAACTCTATAGGGTTTTCTAAAACACCAGGATCCGTCCGCGTGTCCTAAATGATTAATCCACTGATTCGAAGGCATACGTCTTCGAATGAGTGGATTAAAAGTTCGAATCCGGTTGTGGACGAGATATTTATTCACTTTTCTGGTTTTGAACCACCAGAATCTCATAAATTCTATTTCTATAGATATTCTTATCAAAAATTAAGGGAAAACTTCAACAGCTGTCTGTGTGGCTTAATGTATAAGGCGTCTGACTTCGAATCAGAAAATTGGATGTTCGATTTCTCTCGAAGGATGCAATATCACATTTATGCTAGTTTCTGAAGACACGTTACAGCTCCAATCTCTCTTTTTGAAATTTGGTTTCGACCTAGTGTTCTCTACTTATTCTTTTAAGAAAGTTTTCTAAAGCGTCCTCAGTCCTCTGCGTGACGTAACACATAAGGGGTTTGATTTCGAATCAGAAGATGGCATGTTCGAATCCTCTCTATTAGCGCAAGATGCTCAACAATATGCAGACGATATCTTTACGATGTGGTGCGGCATTCAGAATATCGTAGCAGCATCGTGGGGATACTGTAAAATATCTTGTGCTAATAGGATGTCACGGACATTAAGTTTCTTCGTGTTGTCGTTAGTTATCTTCACTGTCCCGTCATTATTTCCAATTATAACTTTTAAATCGTTTTACTTTGTCTTCAAATACTAGTGGAAATCTGTACAATTGTTCAGATAGACTTATTTCTAATCAGAAGATTGCAGTTTCTTTCCCTATCGTGGAAGTGCTATCTCTTTCATGTTGTTTTCTAAAGAAATCTTATTGCTGCCATCTATGGTTTGGCTTCCGCCTAGTTTTCGTCATTTTCTCGATAAGAAAAGGTTAGAAGACACTGGTGACCGTCAGCGTTGCGTAAGGTATAAGGTGTCTGATCTCGGATCTCGAATCAGAAGATTTTAGCGTCGAATCCTACTATAGAAGAAAATGTTTCTCGCGTTCTGATTCAGCATTGTTATTTTTCCTCATATTTATTAATAGCCCATTACGTAAAATATGAGTATAGATACACAGAAGCAGTCCGTGCGATCCATTTGGTAAGGGGCTTATTCTCGATTTAGAAGGTTTCAGGTTCCAATCATGTCTTCCCTCCTGTACTTTCCTATCGGTCTCCAAGTAAGAACCCCATTAAGCGAAGGTATGGGCAATTAAGGAGTGTAAGTCTCCCTCACTGATGCGCATTTCCTGTTCCCTTTAATTTCTCATACCAACGCTTGATGACGTTCTTACTTACAGATTGACAATTTCGATACTCTTACCGAATAATTCTTTGAACTATTACAATTGACTTACTTTCGTGGAACCAGAGACGTGCCAAAGGCTCCTACTATTACACGGTATCCATTTTGACACTTGCGCTGGAATGCGCATATTTAGTGCGTCGTAACGGCACGTTACCTATCTGAAAAAAAAACTTTTTGATCTACTCTCTCATTTAAAAAATACGAAGTTGCTACATATATTCTACATTATTATTTTTATTAAATTTTGAAATGGGTCCAATAATTTATGACCATCCTGTATATTATAATTTCACAATTGTAATGGATAAGAATTCCAATATTATTTAATGATCGCTAAATCACTGTACGTTTATTTTTTTAATACGAGGGTTGTAAATAATGGCAACATAGATAGTAAAAAAATTATAATGAACTTACAAGTTAAATTGCATTGCATTACTTCAATATAATCACAAGAAAAGTCTTGTACTTTTTGCGAAATGTTGGGAAGCTATAGGATACCGTTGGCAAGGTGTTGTTTGTTGATGACAGCATCGAAGCGCCCTAACATTTGCCATTTCTTCACTATGTGCCACACCGTTTGATAATTGAGACCAACTTCTACATATAATTCCCGGATTGTCTATCGATGGTCTATGGAAAGGAGACCACTCACTGATGTTGAGGAATGGACGGCCGACCTATGTGATGCAAACCCGCAGTCTCAATCCGGCCTGCACTAAACTCTTTGACCCATTGTGTAACCTTCCTATACGGTAACGCATTATTGCCACAGGCCTCACGTAATCCGTGATAACATTCAGATGCATTTTTGCCACGGGCAACCTCGAAATTAATCAACGACAGCTGATCACCTTTTGTAAACGTGCTTTAGAGCTGTAAAAATCAACTCTCCACTTCAACGCCATACAGAACTACCCTTCTGACTGGATCGACTGTTTTATGCAATTTACACATCGACAACAGTGCCACCTCACGACTCCCATATCCTATGTGCGCATGCCCGATCTTCTGCGACTTTCTGGACTAAGTTGCCACTACTTCATTTACAACCCTCGTAAAAGCATTATTGTACAAAACAAAATGAACAAGCAACGAATTTTTTTGAAGTATAGCTCCTGTATCTGAAAATCTAATAAACTGATATAAGAACGGTTAAATTACCACTATGGCAAACCCTGATTGAATTGATCAAAAGAATAAAATAAAAAAAATATTTAACATTAATCCTATCATTATGGACAAATCTGAAATGCTGATGTAGAATTTGTAAATCTGTTATACCAGCCTTGCAATGAGGAGAAAGAAGCTGGAAGTCTTGAAATAAGGAGAAAGCTGAATTAGTGTCCTATCAAAGAACGAAAAGGCTGAAAAACATGTATGTCGTTTTATTTCTTATATTGCATATACTGGTTATTGTTACAAAAATATATTGTCGCTCTTCTGCCTTTCTAATCTTATGGTTGGGAAGAGATTTTTACAGGGGTAAATATGAGATATCGGCAGCGACCGGGCCTGGACCCCTGACCTTTGCGACTATTTTGGCGACAAATTTGGCGATTTTGGCGACAAATCGAAAATTCCCGAAAATGCCATTATTTTCTCGATATGTCTATTAGGAGCTGAGATCCGGATTTCTATAGAGATTTCCATGTGTCGTCACATTCTGTGAGGAACACTATAAATACACGGCGGTAGTATTCGACGGGGAACGCCTTTGAAGAATCGCTTTGGAGTTTCGTCTGTAGTGCGAGCTGGTGAGCTGAGTGCTATTGAAAGTGCTGTTACTGTCATTATTAGTGAATTGCTATCTGTTTGTGTTGCTAGATACGGAAGTGCTGTCGTTTTTTTGCTAGTGATTTGTTGCCTATTTGTGTTGCTAATCTGTATAAGTGTTATTGTTCCTGTTGCCTGCTCTTCGTGTTTACGGAATATTCGTGAATAAATCGTCTTTCTCCATTACCCTGCTTGTTGGACTGTTTCTGCCAGACATCCATGGGACGATTGTTGTAACAATATGAATTGCAGTATCTGCAAGTTTAAGTGTTCATATCACTCATAAAAATAGGAGAAGCTCGTTTAACATGTCTTAAAAACGGTCTTATCTATCACCGATGTTGAGTTTTATTGACTTCTGTTTCTCTAATATCATGCAATTTTAATTTTATTAGGGCTTTTAAAGCTCTCTGAGTAAGATAAAGGCATTTTCGCCAAAATTCAACTTCAGAAATGGTTTTAACCTTTTTATATAACTTCGCAAGCTTTTTAGTTTTCCATACCGAATAGACGTTATTCTGATAAAAAGCTGTTCCTTTATTGGAAACTAAACAAATTGAGCATATTTTGAATCGAGTTGTTTAGTCAGTGATATATTTGGAAATGTACCACTCGTTTGACAAGCAAAGTGAAGTCAAATGAATAAAATCAATTGACATCTACATTAAAACCAAATTGGACCTGGCCTAATAAAACCCGACAGATATTTCCTGAAATCTTGAAATTTTAAGAATCTTGTAGTTTTGAACCAAGATATCTGAAAAGTTTCTAATATTTGTTGATATCAGTCTTGAAAATTTCGCGCATGAATAATTTAGAATGGAGGAGTTTATTATCACAGTTACATGATAAATGTAATTGCACATATCAGAATTTTGTGCTTCCAAGTCGTCCCGATGCACATTACGTGTATCAGGTGAGCATGAGTTGACTCCATTAAAACATTTATGCTTGTATCATGGAAATACAAGTGTGTGGTCGCTCTTGTGATATTAATAATAACTGTCTGTGATTTTCAGGAGAAGCAGAGACCATTGGAGATGTGAACTGCTAGTACAGACCAACTGACCGATAGAGATCGTTGCTAACAAACAACTCTCCTTTTATGTTTTGTTTAATTTTGAAATTATATATATATACTTGTCCGTGTGTAACTTAAATACAAATAAATAATTGTTACACTAATGTTACTGTTTACTGAACCATAACCCACAAGTGTGAGTTCATACGAAAAATTGAAAATGGTTACATATGCCATAAACTGTGGCAGGACGAGTCTGAAAGAAAAGAATCGTTACTGTTCTTAATCTTCTAAGTTTCCTTATAATTTATATTTTAGGTATCTATTTAGAAAAGAGTTTTAATGAAATTAACAATAGTAAATACTATCGTTTTTTGAAATGCATTATTTTTGCATGCATTATTTCTTTTTTCTGAATCGTCCGCATATTTCTGGATTAATTCATGGAATTTAAAATAGATTTTAAATTCAGTGATGCAGGATTCGAGAACTCCCAATCTTTCAACAAATCGGCATTCAATCGCTATTTTCAAAAGACCGACCAGCAATAAAATCGAATATATATACAAAAAAATTTTATAAATAGATTTTTCTCACTCAGAAAATTTGCTAGTGAAAAAGAGTAAAGATTTTATATATCTTGTTCATATTATCTGCTCAGTATAGTTTTTTTGAACATTCACTTTCATAAAGCGACACCGCTTTCAAATATTTTACAAATCGCTCGGGATTTTGTAGGTGAAAACATGATGCAATTTGTGATTTGAAAATAACAGTGACATTTTATTATATATGCAGCATGAAAGAATTTTCCCATAATGTAGTATCTGTGGATCGGTTTCTGAGGGAATCGGTTACAAAATAAAAGTCTTATTTATATTAGGATTTATTACATAAATCCTGCACTGTTAATTCAAACTCATGCTTTACCTGAAAATACCGCTGTATGAGAAAAGATCCAGATAATTCTATCAAACTATATTTGTAATCTGTGCATGAATAATTTATTTGGAAATTTAAGCGTAAACCAGACATACACAGGTTACTTTTTCTAATAAGATTTAATAATATGCTACTTGATAGCAGTCTAGTGTAAATTACTATTACGAATATAAATACATGACATGTAATCAGTGACGGCTAGTCAGCTCAGAAACCAGCAGTGTTGCAAATATATTTTTCCAAGAGAATACATTTAAGA